CCGGGACTAGAACCCGGTGTGCCAGCGCTGCAAGGCGGAGGATTAGCCTAGTGAGCCATGGCGCCGGCCCGCAAATGGAATTTTGAGATCCTATTCTGGATGCTTGCAATCCTCCCTGCTACTGGAAGGGTCGTTGTTTCTCAGCCTTCACAGAGGCTGAACTTTATATAATGTAAACTTTTCCCCATTGTTTTTTATACTTTTAATGTCAATGCACTGACTGTATAGCCAATATACTGTCCTGTCTTCCTTTTTAGCCTTCATTTACTATTCTACAAGTTAATGTTGTCAACCCATTTATTGATGCTTCTATCTTCATTTTGATTGTCTGAAACTCATTCTTCAGTAGATTTCTCAGGATAGAATCATGAGAATAATATTCCCTGAATTCCTGCCTGTTAACCATTGTATATCTGTGCTCTTTGGCCTCGAAAGTCAGTTTAACCAAACATATAACCCTTGGCATACATTTTCTTTAATTATCTTAAATGTATTATTCTGTTTTCTTCTAGCATAAAGAATTGCTGTTGAAAACTCTGATATAATCTAGTTTTTTTGTAAATCACTTACTGTTTTTGCCTAAAAGACCAAAGGTTTATTTGTAGTCTAAATATTTTCCCAGAATCTGTCTGGTGGTTATTTGTTTTGGGTCAGTATTCTCAGATATACCATGTGTTCTTTCAAGGTATAGTTCCAAATCTCTTTACATTAGCAGTTATGGTTTTTAATATTTGTCTTATTCTTGTAAGGTGTCCAGTGCATAAGCTGTCCAGCAGGACAGGGGCCAGGGAAGTCAATGTCAGAGGTTGGGAGGGCTCCTTTTAAAGATACTGGATGTGGGGATTAAAGGTTGAGGCAGGTCTGATCCTCATTGGTTGACCTTGAGGCTCCCGCGGGGACCAAGACAAGGACTTTTCCTTCCCAGAAGTGCGGGTAAGGACTCTCCATTCCCGGAAGTGTAGGCCTTCTCCCCTTGGGGATCCCAAAGCTACCAGTTCTCTTGATTGATTTCCATTAGAGACTCCTGTGATCTGTATGTGGCATCTTCCTTACATGTCTTTAATATTTGCTACTTCCCTTTGAGTTTATTTTATTTTATTTTTGCTATGTTATTTTTTTTTTTACCATTTTTCTTATGTTATTATTCTGTATCCATTCTGTGGTTCTAATTCTTTAGTTTTCATTTCCAAAATAATATATTATTTCTAATTCTTTTTTGAGTTCTATTACCTTATTTATAAGCTTTCTTATTTTTCATGTATGTGGTTCTTTCAAGTTTGTATAACTTTTAGATATACTTATTTTGAAATTCTGATTTTTTGACATGCTTTCGTTATTTATATGGTATCATATTTTTAATTCCCAAGAAGTTTTTTTTTATTCTGTTAATACTCCCTTATGTTTAGTAGCAATCTGTTCTCATTTCTTAGCTTTTTTTTTTCTTTTTATTTATTTGAAAGGCAGAGTTACAGAGGGGAAGAAGGAGAGGCAGAGAGAAAAGTATTGCAACTGTTGGTTCACCCCTCAAATGGCTGCAATGGCCAGCCCTGTGCCAGACTGAAGTCAGGAGTCAGTAGCTTCATGCAGGTGCAAAAGCCCAAGCACTTGTGCCATCTTCCACTGCTTTCCCAGGAGCATTAACAGGGAGCTGGATGGAATGTGGAGCAGCCAGGACTCGAACTGGCACCTATATGGGATGCTGGCACTGCAGGTGGCAGCTTAACCCTCTACGCCACAGCACCAGCCCCTTAGCTGCCACTGTGCTTAAGGATAGAAATGAAAAGGGATTGTTTTTTTATTTGTCCTCTAATTTCCCTGCCCGCTTCCTTCCTTCCCCCAGTCACCTCCCCCCTATTTTCCTTTATTATTTTAGAAGCTTTCCTAAGATGTAAGATAATCCTTGGTAATAAACTCATATTTAAGAGGTAGGTGACAAAAAAAAAAAAACTGATTAGAAGGTGCACATGCTATGAGTAGATCTTGTGGAATTACAGACTTTGCCATAAAGTAATCTGGTTGTCCTTTTCTTTGTGCAGTCCCCTGTATCTTTTAGTTAATTGGGGGAGCGGGGGGGGACGCTGATCATATTCTTTAGGGAAGCTTCTTCCAGCCTCCTATCTTAAATAACTTAAGCCTGCTGGTGGTGTTCTCTGTGGCATATTAACAGAAAATTACTTCTTTCTGTGTATATTTTTTGTTTTAAAATAAGACTGCCCAAATGTTGATGGCTTCCCCTAGCCCAGCTTCTTATTTTTGCTTTCTCCAGAAAGTAACCTGCAATACCATGCCTGAGAGGCGAAGGGGCAATTTCTCAGCTATTTGGAATAAGTGAGGAGATTCTATAAGGTTCTAAGTATTTCTTTACCCCTTTTTCATTTTTAGACCTACCTTCAACTTCACTTACATGTTCTCTTTAGTAGCCAAACTTTTTATGAGTTCTGTAGTAGAAATTAAATACTTCACTGGACCTGTTAAGTCAATTATAATTCGTCTTTCCGCTTTCTAAAGTGCTATTCCTATTGTCATTTCTCTTCTCTTTGTCCTAAGGGTGTTTTGTCTGTGTGTGTGTGAGAAAATTCCTGCTGGTGTACATTGTATTTTGGGAGAGAAAAGTTAGGGCATGCATTCAATTAATGAGAAGGACTTTGACCTCTATTGTATGGTGAATCTCAGGAAAGTCACTCTTCTAGGTTTTTTCCTGATTCTTCTAGAGCAAATGATAAAATGGTTTTTTCTAATGACATATTTCTGTTTGTCTATTTAAAGGGGTGTTTCTGATACTGGCCTTAAATAGCACAAATCATCTTTTATTGTCCTCTTTTATGCCAAGCTCCCCATCTATGTTGAGCCTAGTCCTTTTTGATAATTTTGTAGGCCCATGAGTGTCGCTCCCCCTCTTCATGGAGGAACGACACAGGACCCTGCGCTGTTCTTTTGTCTGCTCGGCCCTCCCCAGGTTTGCTGCTGGTTCTTCCCGGGTTGGCTACCGACCCTTCCACTTCCGTGGAAAGGCGGTTCCCCCTGCCACTTTCCCCACTTCCGCGGGCAGCGGCACACCGCCGGCCGGCTCTCTCGGGGGCTGCTCAGATGTTCCTCAGGTGTTCCTCTTAGATGTTCCTGGTGCATGTTGTCTCTCTCCTCCTTTATAGTCCTCTTCCACCAATCCCAACTCTGCTGCCCACATGCTGAGTACGCTGCTCTCCTCCAATCAGGAGCAGGATCAGCTCCTGCAGGTCGTCACTCAAGTTGGCGAGAGACAGCTGCGTAGAAGCTGTTTACTCCTCTCCCAGCGCCATATTGTGGGAGAGCAGATGCATAGAATAAGTCTTAATTCGAGTAACAGTCTAGTCTGAGTTGCTCCCCACACATGAGTAAAGTTTATCTTTTGTGAATAGTGAAGAGAATGTGAGATGCCATATTGAAATGTTCTAAATTAAAAATATATATAAGTAATAAGTAAACGCCAGAATATCTACTAAAGAAATAATTCAAAGAAATTAAGAGGTTACATCATAAAATATTCAAACAAAAGGAAGCAGTGAAGAAGGAATAAAGGAATAAAGGGGCAGGCATTGTGGCATTGTGGGTAAAGCCACACCTATGTCTCCAGCATCCCATGTGAATATCGATTCATGTTCCAGCTGCTCCACTTCTAATCCAGCTCCCTACTAATAGCCTGGAAAGAGCAGCAGAAGATGGCCCAAGTGCTTGGGCCCCTGCCACCCACATTGGAGACCCAAATGAAGCTCCTGGCTTATGGATTCTGGCTTTGACTTGACCCAGCCCTGGCCATTACAGCCATCTGGGGAGTGAATCAGCAGTTGGAAGTTCTGTCTCTCTCTCTCTCGCTTTGTATTCTGACTTTCAAATAAAGGCAGAGTTACAGAGAGAGAGGGAGAAACACAGAGAGATCTTCCATCTGCTGGTTCACTCCCCAGATGGCCACAATGGCCAGAGCAGGGCCAATCCGAAGCCAGGAGCCAGGAGTTTCTGGGTCTCCAATGCTGGTGGCAGAGACCTGAGTATTTGGGCCATCTTCTGCTGTTTTCCCAGGAGCATTAGCAGAGAGCTGGATCAGAAGTGGAGCAATCGGAATTTGATCTGCTACTCCACAGTACCAGTCCCAAAAAATAAATCTTGAAAAAAAAAAAAAGAAGAAGAAGAAGAAGGAATAGAGCACTACTAACAAACACAAGACATGTAGAAAACAAAAAATTAAACTGGCATGATTTACTGTGTTGGTACATCAAATGTGAACGCATTGGGTAATCTAATCAAATAGCAGGGATTGTCAAACTGATTTTTTAAAAAAAAGATCCAGCTATACGCTGGATAAACAAAATAAAGAATAGAAAGACAATAGGGAAAACTCATTAAAATAAAAAGGTAGTTTTAAAAAAATAATGAAATTGGGCCGGCGCCACGGCTCACTTGGCTAGTCCTCTGCCTGCGGTGCCAGCACCCCGGGTTCTAGTCCCAGTTGGGGCGCTGGATTCTGTCCTAATTGCTCCTCTTCCAGTCCAGCTCTCTGCTGTGGCCCAGAAAGGCAGTGGAGGATGGCCCAAGTGCTTGGGCCCTGCATCCGCATGGGAGACCAGGAGAAGCACCTGGCTCCTGGCTTTGGATTGGCACAGTACACCGGCCATAGCACCCATTTGGGGAGTGAACCAACATAAGGAAGACCTTTGTCTTTGTCTCTCTCTCTCTCTTTCTCTCTCACTGTCTAACTCTGCCTGTCGAAAAAAAAAAAAATAGTGAAATTGACCTTTAGTTAGATTGACCAAGAAAAAGAAGAAAGAGAACTCAAGTTACTAGAATCAGAAATGAAAGGGGTAATACTACCAATCTTACAGAATTAAAAATGATTTAAAAAGAATCCTATGAAAAATCATATACCAATGAACTGGACAATTTAGGTGAAGTAAAAAATGACTAGGAAGGAATGCTCTATAACATGAAGAAATGTTCATCTAATAATTGACAGTGTGATGCATTTATAGGCTGTTGCCTTCTCCTCTCAAGGATGCAGTGGAAGTATCAACCTGGAGAAGATGCTATACAATGCAAGAGGTGAACTCTGCCCTTAGTAAAATCCAGCTGGTGGGATATTCTCAGAAAATTGTAAGTGTTGATATCAATTTAAAGTGATTTATTGTTCTTTGCGAGAATCATTCTGTTTTCTATTTAAAGCCGTTCAGCTGCTGAAAATCTTTTACTAGTACAGGTGAAGACAGAGCATCTGTAGTTCTCCATCCTTCCAGGTTTTTGTTGGTACTCTTTCCTAACTCACATGTTCCCCATCACTAGCTAGCATTCCATTGGCCAGAATGTAATGAAATGGGAGAGAGGAATCTCATTCTCACTTTAGAACCTTACATAAACAAGTGAAATAGAGCAACAATTTGGAAATACAACTTTTGAGCACTGACCTAAAGGATTAGGGTTCCCATTTCTTCTAACTTGTCTCCAGAGGCACGCAGTAGAGGACAACCAAAAGCCTAAAACCTAACCTAAAGTGAAAAAGGATAATGCTGGCATTGCAGCGTAGCAGGTAAAGCCACTGCCTGCGATGCCGGTATCCCTTAGGGGCGCCCATTCGAGTCCCACCTGATCCACTTCCCATCCAGCTCCCTGCTGATGTGCCTGAAAAGGTAACGGAAGATGGCCCAAGTGCTTGGGCTCCTGCCACCATGTGGGAGAGCCAGATGAAGCTTCTGGCTTTGGCCTGACCCAGCCCCTGTCATTGTGGCCATTTGGGGAATGAGCCAGTAGATAAAGACATCTGTCTCTATCTCTGTCTCTGACTCTCACTCTCTCTATCTCTCTTTTTCTCTCTCTAACGCTGCCTTTCAAATAAATATTGAAAAAGAGAAAGGATAATCAAAGTATTTGATTCTTTGGTCTTTTTGGTAATTAATATATATATTATCTTTCCCTTTTAATGAGTGGGTCTTGAGTACCTGATGACCTGGAGATGGATCCGAACTCTCAGGTGCTGAGGGAAGGCTACAGGATTGCTTTCTGTCTTTACTGTGGTCTATTGTGTATTTTACTTTTAACTTTCTCATTTGTTTTTAAATGATTTTGGCTTCTAAGCTGAGTAGGATATTTCTGTTGTTTTTTCTTGCATATTTATCTGGTATGACTGCATTACTGAAAGTTCATCATGCATTCTTACTTTGGTTCTTTCTAGGAGCTTTTTGGTGCAGTCCAGGTGACTCCTCTAAGCTCTGGCTATGCACTTGGAAGCTCCAACTGGATTATCCAGTCCCATTATGAGAAAGTATCTTACGTCTCTGGATCCTCCTTGCTTACCACACACCCCCAGGTAATTATAAATTTTTTTAACAACTTAACTTTTTCGTTATTTAACCTAAAATCGGAATGTGCCCAGAGTACCATCAGCCATTTTAAAATCTGTGTAATTTTAATCTCTATAAATACACTTTTAAACAATTAGACTATCAAAGCCCAGCATTTAGAATTGTATGTTCCTCTGAAATAATCTTGGTGTTAGGGGCACCTCTAGTATTCTCAGATTCCCTAAACCCTCCAGGGACTGTAGTATGATGTGAGACATGTAGAGTTATTTGTTTTTTGTTTTTTGTTTTTTTTAAGATTTATTTATTTATTTGAAAGTCAGAGTTACACAGAGAGAGGAGAGGCAGAGAGACAGAAAGGTCTTCCATCCGTTGGGTCACTCCCCAATTGGCTGCAGTGGCCGGAGCTGCGCCAATCTGAAGCCAGGAGCCAGGAGCTTCTTCCAGGTCTCCCACGTGAGTGCAGGGGCCCAAGGACTTGGGCCATCTTCCACTGCTTTCCCAGGCCATAGCAGAGAGCTGGATCAGAAGTGGAGCAGCCGGGTCTCGAACTGGCACCCATATGAGATGCCGGTACTTCAGGCCAGGGCATTAACCTGCTGTGCCACAGCGCAGACCCCAAGTTATTTGTTTATACAGCAAGTCTTACCCATTCAGTACTTACCAAAGGTCAAGTGTCAGGCATTCCTTAGAGACTAAGTGGTTGCCAGCAGGCAAAGTCCCTGTTAATGGATCTTATGTTCAGTTGATATAGGAAGAGGATAGTATAGAAAAAATAGACAAATATAATACTTTGCCCCATAACAATGGTTCAGTCAATGATGGCACATATACTCCTACAATGGTAGTTCCATAAGATTAATATGTGGCTGAAAAATTCCTATCGCCTGGTGAAGTCATAGCCTGGGTAATATCATAGTACAGCACATTGCTCACTCATTTGTGATGATACTGATCTAAACAAACCTGTATAGCAAGTCATATAAATATGTAACTCATACAATTGTGCATAATACATAATACTTGATAATAAGCAACTGTTGCTATTTTATATACCAGAAACCTTCAAACAGTTAAAAAAATATACATTATGTGAAAATTATGCATAGATTTCAAGGATTCTTTGCACCAAAGTTAATTTACCCTATAATTCCATTTTCCACAGACTTTTTGAAGTGCCTTCCTATTTACTGCATTATACTTTTTATTGTTATTTTAGAGTACTCCTGCTTATAAACAGAAAGGTTATGGTAAAACAGTATGCCGTGTTATTCTGGCAGCAGCCTCATGCATCTCATGTTTACCATGTCTCTTGATTGTACCAGCAAGCCAGGTTGAGACTGAGCTGTAACATCTAGGTTTGTGTAAGTGTACACTGTGATGACCACACGATGATGAAATCACCCAAGGACATATTTCTCAGGACATATCCCCATCATGAAATGACATATTGCTCACTGAACATAAATGAGCAGGGTCATTTTAAATTGTGACACGAGTGCTGAAACAACAAATCAAGGTCCTTTCTAGATTGGATGGCCTAGGAAAACCTCTGGAAAGATCTGTCTTACCTGAGACCTAAAGACCTGAGTTGTAAGGCAAAGTATTACAAAGATATGGCAGATGAAAGGCCCCTATAGCAAGAATCCGAGGGACACGTTTGAAGAGCAGAGAAGCCCATTGTGATTGCAGCGTACTGTATATACTCAGCAGTGAGGCCCAGGAGAAAAACAGAGGCCAGATCATGTAGGACTTTGTAGGCCACGATGAGGAATTTTGGTTTTATTTTAAGTGTACAGGGGGAATTGTTGGAAAGTTTTAAGTTATTCATTGTAGCTGTATCAAGAAGGTATGCACATCAACATTGTTATGCATGTCATATGTATTCCTTTTTAGGTATTTGTAAAGACTGTTTTCATAAATCTTGGTTCTTTCCAAGTTGTAAAGGGGTTAAGAAGTTAACTGATGGAAGAGTATGTAAATATATAGGTAACTTGTAGATATCCATATCCCATTTCATTTATTCATTTATGTATATATTTTTTAACATAAACTCAAGATTTCACTGTCTTCATGATAAAACTGAAGGTGTACCTTAGAACTAGATCATTTGACCATTTCTCTTATCTTTTCCCAGTTTAAAATGTTTGTATCTTCTGAGTCAGTTTTCTCTTAGATCTGCAGTAGGGCTCAACGTACTTGATCTTCTTTGTAGTGTTAACATTTTTCCAGATTTTCTCAATGTACCCTTATTCCTGTCATAGCATCGCTTTCCCTGGCCATAAAAGAATTCTCGACTTACTTGTAATTGCCATTTGGGGGGTTCATACTTGCCACACTTAGAAGGTCTGGCAGGTTTTAGGCATGTTCATCATGTTTTCAGGAGAGCTATCATTTTAGAAAGGAAGAAGCTATTTATTAATTAACAAAAGTTGTTTGTATTTATGGTTTACAACATGATGTTTTGATATTTGTATACATTGTGGAATGGCTTAATGGAGCTAATTCACACACCCAATTTAATGTAGGGAAAGGAACACTTTGTTCTAGGACAATAGGATACTTCTGAGCTGCTGTTTTGCATTGTTTTTTCATACCTTCTTCTTAACCAAGTTTCATCTCAAGGTCTGTCAGGGACAAGTTGCTATTTTTTCCTGTAGCTAGCAAAATTCTGGGCCCTTCCCGCTTACTGAAATCAAAAGCCCATCAATGTCATCATAATCTGCTTCATTGAATCAAAATTTTTTATTGGCAGCTTATATAATTCCTGATGCATTCTTCCATAAAAGATAGAAAGATGACTTGGCTGCCAACTCTTCCAATTTATCCTGCTTAGATCAAAGCCTTTACAGTACTATTGATGTAATTTCCAGTAAATTATTCTTACAAGGTCCATAAATTTAAAGGGAAAATAAGGTCTTGAAAGTAATGAGCAACATGCTTAAGTAATTAATTTTAATTTCTAGCTGGCAACCTGTGTTATGTGTCTAAAAGAAAAAAAATTATATTTCGCTTAACCCACACAGTTGGATTCTATATTGAATTAGCAAGATTAAGAAAAGTTTTGGTTTGAAAAAAATGTGATAGTCAACTCCAGAGGTCAGCAAACTATGGCCTGAGGACCAATCTTGAGCTGCCACCTATGTTTGGAAATAACATTGTGTTGAAATACAGCCATACCCACCCATTTGTTCATGGCTTGTTTATGGTCCTGTTGGCTCTATAATGGCAGAGGTTCACTTCAAAGTTAAATTTTGAAGGAAAAGGTTTACTTAACCCCTGGTCTCCTTGAGTGGAACCTTTACTACCTAGGTAGAACACCACAGGCTGTTATAGTGCTCTAATAAACTTGGGGAAAGGACAGAAGAAGGCTGTGGATTAAGCCTGAGGCAGTAAGAATGGAGAAACAAGTTAAAGAAAATACTGACAGGTATTTAATTCAAGAAACATTTATTGAATACCACAAAACAAAAATAAAGATTTTATGCCTGAATGACATTGAGAATGGTGATAATGACACTAATCCAGTTGACAGGGGTTGGCAGAGGGATCGTTAGTTTCAGAAGGGAGTGGTGGGTATGATGGGATATGAATTTAAAAGAACATTAGACAGATGAAAATACAGGCTTAGAACTTGGATATGAAGACAGGTCTGGAGACAGATTGGAGAGGCATCACATTTTTAAAAGTACGTGTATATAAATAAAAGGCTGAGACTGAAGATTGAACTGAAGAAACTTTTACCTACAGACAGTGGAAGGACAAGTAATTTTGTATTAAAGTGGTTGAAGAGTTAGAGGAGAATTGAGGCAGAAAAATATAGCTGCATTCCAGACAGAAAAGAAAAATAGCCTTACTGAGCACAAAGTCTCAGTACTAATTTTTTTTTTATTATTTTTTATCTATTTGAGAGGCAGACAAACATGGAGAGCTCCCATCCAGTGGTTCCCTCCCCAGATGCTAAGAACAGCAAGGACTGGGCCAGGCTGATGCAAGAGCTGGGAACCCTATCCAGGTCTCCGTAACTAGCGGGAATCCAATTGCTTGAGCCATTACTCCTGCCTCTTAGGGCCTGGTAGAGCCAGGCATCTTGAGCCTCAGGAATCCTAATATGGGTTGAGGTTATCTGTTTTGTTTATTTATGTGCTTATTTGAAAGTCAGAGTTACAGAGAGAGGGAGGGACACAAATAGAAATCTTCCATCTACTGATTCACTCCTACAAGTAGCTATAACAGTTAGGGCGGAGCCAGTCTGAAACCAGGAATTATATTGTATAAATGTAAACAAAATACTGACCAACTGACTCCAGGAAGGCATTTTAAAAAGGATTGTGATTACAAAAGATTTATCCCAAGAATACAAGGATGTTTATATGTGAGAAAAACTAACACTGCATTCATTACATTAACAGTCTAAAGCAGAAAAATCATAGATTCAGAAAAAGCATTTGCTAAGGTGCAACATATAAAAAAATAAGAAGGCATATAAGGCATATATATAAGGCATATAACCATACTTTTTGAAATCTCTTTTTTTTTTTTTTTTCGACAGGCAGAGTGGACAGTGAGATAGAGAGACAGAGAGAAAGGTCTTCCTTTTGCCGTTGGTTCACCCTCCAATGGCCGCTGCAGCCGGCGCACTGCAGGCAGCACACTGCGCTGATCCAAAGCCAGGAGCCAAGTGTTTCTCCTGGTCTCCCATGGGGTGCAGGGCCCAAGCACTTGGGCCATCCTCCACTGCACTCCCTGGCCACAGCGGAGAGCTGGCCTGGAAGAAGGGCAACCGGGACAGACTCCAATGCCCCGACCGGGACTAGAACCCAGTGTGCCGGCGCCGCAAGGTGGAGGATTAGCCTAGTGAGCCGTGGCGCCGGAAGACTTTTTGAAATCTAATTCAGGACAAAGGTGTCCACTACCATCAGTCTGTTTAAGGTGTTACTAGAGAGCTCAGTTATGGGAGGAAAAAAAAGAAACACAAGATACAAGGGTTGAAATTGTTACTTCTTTG